CACCTGTGAGAACACTGAGTCTAAGATCCAATACAAAGTTTACACTGAGATTAAACAGAGTTAAACATATCTAAACCATGGAATATATTGCACCTTACCACTCCTTACATGTAGTGAAATAATTAGTTTAATTTCAAGCTAAGTACATGTAGCCCCTATATGAGTTGCTACAGAGTCAGATATATTTCTGCTTGTAAATAGTTAATGACCACTGTGCAGCCTGTGATACAGAGAGACTTACGGGATTTGTAGTGCAGCTACCGTAGAAGATCATTGAGTTGTGAGGGACTGTAAACACTACGATTCCCAGAGGATAAACCTGGGCTGGAGTCCAGTGTTTCCTCAGTCCGGGGGAGAGTCAGCTAATTGGACGGATCCGTGTATCGGAGAGCATGAGACTCTGTGTGGAGCTGTGCAAGGCAGTGTGCTCACCATAGTACAGACCCAGAGAAAGAACCTCACCCGATCTGCTGCATTAGCACCATTCAGACAATCGTTATCACGTCCTGGATGAACAGTTACATCCGGCATGTGGGCGAGAGACCCGCTGAGGCTTAGTAATCCGTGCTGATCATGAGAGATCTTTAGAGTGACCTTCAGCATCTCCTGTAACCAGAGATCATCTCCAAAGTGCAACCGCTCCTACCGGAACCAAAGTATGTTGGCTCGAGAGGAAGGGAATACCTGACTGCCGCTGATGAATGCTGCAATCATGAGATTGACCCAGGAATCGGTGAGGAGCCTCTGGCCATTTGTTTTCATTTCTACAAATCACGTCAGCAACATAGTATGAGCCCCAACGATGGCTAGCCTAGACTATTGCTACTGGCCAGTAGTATAGAGGGATGGGGGATATTTTGGACTGAGACATTAGCAGCCCTGTCTCTAAAGTCAGAGATAACAATTTAGACAGCTTAGTACTGTATATTTTAGTTTATAGATAGCTGTGGTTACAGAGTGTCTGAATACCAAGTGTATATTGCTGAATGCTGTTCCTTCTTGTTTTTTGTGCTTCACTTATTTGATGGTCAATTAGGAGATGCTACTTCCTTAGTAAAGCTCTTACAAAACTTCACAAGGTGTGTTGGTGTACTGTGGATCCTGTTTGGCTGTCAAATTCTAGCTTGGGGAAAGAAATACCCAGGTTATTCCAGTGGCTCCTCTGGGGGAGACTGTTACATACATTTTCTGCAAGTACAGAAGAATACCTGCTAATCTTGCCAGAATAAAGATGAGGAGAAGAGGATGTGTTTGTAGTCAAAATCAGGAATGCAGCAGAGGCTGTCAAAGCTCTTCCTCTATAGATATAATATAGTGAGTGAGCGTGTTACAGTACCTCCAGGGTCTGCCTCTGAGAGCCTTTTACCTCCTGTCCGTGTGCTGTGTGTGCTTTTGGCTATGGCCATTGGCGTGCACATGTTGGCACACATGTGTTAGCATGGCCAAGGAGGATATCCAAATGCCTTCCCTTAGCCCTGGTTCACACCTAGGCGTATTGCATATGCGCGGTTATCGCACGTTTTTTTTACCGTGATTTGTGGTAAAAAAAACGTGCGACAAACGCGCGTTTCCGAGGGCTACTTGGCTGTATCCCAATGGAAACGCGCAACAAAAACGGCCCAAAGTAGTACATGTACCTTTTCAGGCGTAGGCCGTTTTGTAGCGCGTTAGGGACGGGCTGAAATACGCCAAGGTGTGAACCAGACCCATTGAATACAATGGGATTTAGATGTTTGAGCGTTTTGTAGAGCGTTCGTCGAGCGTAGAACGCGCTACAAAACGCTCAGGTGTGAACGAGGGCTTATGGTAGCCGGTGCTGTGGCTTCTTTCCAGCTACTTGGTGTGTGATATTATTTGTTCTGCCTTGCTCATTGCTGGATTGCCTGACTCTGCTTGCGTCTCTTGCCCCCTTTGCCAACTCTGCTCATTCCCATTATCCACTTGCCTGCCATCTGCCTCGACCTTCATCTGGACACTGACTATCCTTTTGCCTGCCCTGCCTCGACCTCTGCTTGGTTTCTGACCTTTCATTTTATCATTATCCTGTCTCCACAGAATAGCCACATTGTTCCTATGACCCCTTGGGTGATTCTAAGGGCCACAACCTGATGTCATCTTGCAGCAAAGTAGCCTGAGAGCCACTAGGGTCAATGGCCCATCACACCTTGTGGGGTGCTCTGGTGAAGAACAAGTTGCCACTTCATCTCTGCACCTTGCGTGAGCCTGCATCTCTTGGCAGGGGTGTCAATCCTAAGAGATCATTGTCACTCTATGACATTAAGTGTGTTACTGGCAGGTTCAACAGACAATAATAAAGGAAAAGAAAGCCCAACAAAGGAAACTAATGCAGTCACCACATTTAAATTGGTAAGTTGCATGAGTTTTCATCTCCTCCACCTACAAGTGTTTGGGCCTGGTGACTGACCATTCAGGCAGGATCACTGCATTCTAGGGGAAAGGGCAGATGGTCATGTTCTACCATATACCTACATTTAACTACCGGATATATGAGGGCTCCAACAGACATACAGAACAGTGGAGGAAGCTGAGATGGTAAGTACTAGTGGGGAGGAAGAGAGTGACAGATTCTGTTTAGGACCTACTTGACCATGATATAGATGTACTGTTAATGAATCTTAAGGGGTTGAAACTGATAAGGATGTTCTATATGGCAACATTGTTCACAAAATGTAGACTTTATGTACATTTGAAAAATATAATAACATGCAATAATACCTGAGCACTTAAAGTCTCCAGAGGACTTTCAACTCTGGGGAAAGCCATTAGAGGCATTCCCCTTGTGTCCTCAGACTTCGGTTTAGAGATTGTTCCATGAGTTCCTTTAAAGTTATGGACAACACAAATGCCCTGCAAGATGAAAATGTAAATTTAGAAAAACCACACCAATACACAATGTACAATAATTGTTATAAACATATTTTACGCAGTGTATATCATAGCTTCCTGGACATTCTATGTCTGCCTGTTGCCACTGTCACATTGGTCAATCCATTCTCAATAAATCATGTGCAGTAGTGCCAATGAAAAGACACATTTTTACTCATACACATACTGTATGTGGTTTATTACCTTACACATCAGCTTTTAAAGTGTAAACTGCAACTGAACCTCTAGAGATCATCCTTGTGTTTTTACAGAAAGTTACATGATGCAATTACCAAGGTCATTAATCTCCCAGTGGAGGTAAAACTGTTCATTCATATGTTATCTCAAATAATTTCCCAAAGTACAGTAATTCATTCCATAATAGTATACAAATAGTGTGCATCATAGTTTATCAAAACAATTATGGGGTCTATTCACTAATCTGCCGAAGGATCTAGCCGTAGCTTTGGCTGATCCTTCAGCTAGCTTCGGCCCCAGATTATAGCCCGTACAGCACCTGTAGTCGGCCGAGCGGCTCAGTTGAGCCGAAGGCATATGCTTCGGCTCGACTGAGCCGAGGTGAAAGCCGGAGCTCGACAGCCTGCTACTGACTGCTGGGCAGAGCCAGCCGTCATCTTATGGCTGGCTCCGGCCATTTGCACAGGCAGATCAGCGGGTAACCAGGGACACTGATCTCCAGACAGCCCAACTCTGCTGGGCGCTCTGGGAGTCTCCTGCTATTAGATAGCGGCTCCCGGCCGCCCGGGAGAGAAGTGCTTTCTCCCAGAAAGGTTTACTCTGCTCGATCGAGCAGAGTAAACCTTTCCCTGCTCTGTTTTTTTTCTGACATCGGAGCCTTTGGCTGCCGTCAGAATTATAATAATTTGTTAAAAAATCACCATAGGAATGCATAGCTAGATTCCTATTGGCTATTTCAATTTGCAATAGCCAATAGCAAACTAGCTATTGCACCACCCAGTTCCGCCCAATCGTTCTCTATTTTATTTTTTACTTTTTTAACAGTTTTTCGATTCTGCTCGGCGGCATTCGGCTATTCACTCACTGCTGTTTGGCATCTATGAGAATAGGCCGAACAGCAGTGAGTAGCCTGATGGAGGTTCGGCTTAGCCGATCCAGATGTCAGATCGGCTGAGTCGAACTCCTTCTGCACTTCGGGTCCGCCGATATACCAGCCTGAAGTGAATAGCCGAACAGCGTTCGGCTCACTTTGATTTGGGTCGGTTATTCACTCGGCTGTCTACGGCAGCTTAGTGAATAGACCCCTATGTATTCAGGAGATGGTAGACATCAGTGAAAGGGGAGTTATCAAGGCTGGCAAAATACAATCTGGGTGCCTGTCCAGTACAAATAACATCTGAGACTTTTTTACTGTGTCAATGGGCTTAAATTTTATTTTGGGATTTATGACCCCACCACTATTATATAACTTTAAAATATAACTACTGTATAATGGTTAAAATTATGTTTTAAATTATATATTGAATATATATATATACACACACACCCTGACTATTGGCCTGGTGATCCTAGTCTTTAGACATTATGTAGGAACATGTGTGACCATCCAGAGTTAGTAAGGGCACCCACACAATTATGATAGTGAGCTTCCTTAATGGCAGTGATCTGTAGCAAATAATCTGATGTGTAAAGTAGTTTGCATGTTTAGATTTGCTTGACCACTAAATCTGGTGGAAGGGAAAGGAAAAGAAAAGGAAAAGGAAAGAGTGATTGACAATGGTCAGGAGTAGGATCTGTAATTCTTTTTTCTGCATTTTTACTTGTCAGTACGGCTTCTATAATACCTTTAGTTTATTGATGTATATACTACTTTATATTAAATCAACATATTTGTCAGTATATTACAGAGTACATAAAACTATTCGTGTCAGCCCCTATCCCAGTGGAGATTACAGCCTTCTACTGCTGTTATTCAAATACATACTGTATTTTTCAATATGATTAATACCGATTTTGGCATATGAAAGGAAACCAACAAAAGCCTTGCAGGTAGTGTTCCTGGTGAGAACTGATTTCCTGGTGAGAACTGATTTCCTGGCTCCAGAGTAGACAAAGCGAATAACTACCCACTTAGTCACTGTGCGAAAATTCAGCAAAATACTGGCTATAATTGTTATTTTAATTACATTTACCAAAAACAAAGCCACGGCTGTCCCCAAAATGAAGCCTCCAATAACATCAACGCAGTGGTTCCTGTATTCTGATACACGGTTCAGTCCAGTAAGGAAGGCAGAACACAGAGTTCCAAGGCAAAGAACAGGTTTTGCTAGTCTGCTGCTTTTTGTCTTAATTGTGCTCGTGATATACATCTGAAACACAAACAAATTGACTGTCACTTCAATATATATGAAGACGTGTAAAGGAAACCTGTAAAAAGAGAAATGTGAGGGCTGCCATAGCTGATCTCCTGAAATAAGTTAGCAGTCTGAAATTGTTTCACTAGAGGGCAGCATTTGTTCACAAAAAAAAACCCACCTTCGCTAATCATACAGCATTTTACATTATCGAATGGCTTCCATTAGTAATGTCCAAATACATCCTCATGAATTCATACTTGTTACTTTTTTATAGTGAATTCACATAGTATACATTCAACTGGCTATGCAAGTAGTTTGAGCTGCTGCAGGTCCAATTATTTGTGTCCGGAAGAAGATCTATAGAGAGTAAAGTTTGCGGACTGTCACGTATAGGTCTAATATAGATTAGCAGGACCAGACTTGGCTCTGTGTCCCGAGCAGGGAGGCTTTTGCCCCAATTAAGAGATATTAAAACTGAGTGAAATAGGCAGAAAGCAAACATCGTTGAAAAAAATGACCCTCTGGTTTCAATACTTAAGGAACTAACCAAGCAGGCAGATCAGGACTTATTATTTCAGGGGGACTTCACTTACTGTATGTTTATTCCAGATCAGTAAAGTACTGAAGCCATTGAATCAGCATCACAGCCAGAAAACAAGCATTTAAAAAAAAAAAAAGCTAGGTTTGATTTAACCTCTTCCCACTGGTTAATGCATATATGCAGCAGCATCGTGGGCTGCTATATAAGCATCCATGGAGCTCTGCTGTTGTGCGCTCACTGGGCATTTCCAACACATTGACTGAGCTGTCACAGACAGCTCCTGTTCACTGTACACCATTGGAAGCAGGCGGAACAGGCTTCTGATCATGTGACTGTTGTGACAGCCAATCGCATAGTCACATGATCAAACTAAAACTGCAACTGAAACCAAAACTTTTTTTAGATTGGGTGGAAGGGATTCGAACTCCTCTAATTTGTTTACTGCTATCCAGTGCCACATTAAAGAGACATCAATTGGGACCCAGACAGCAATAAACAGGGATTCTAATCCTCTCTATCCAAAATGAAAAAAATAGTTTTAAAGAATTATGGAAGTATGCAAGGACTCTTGAAGTGGTGTTTAAAACTGTATTTATACGAGCCAATACAGGAAAAAGACCTGCCATGTGCAAAAAATTGCTTTTAAAATGATGGTTAAACACAGTGAAATATAATTAGTGGATAAGGACAATTATCAACACTGTGTCCCTTTCCATTTAAAAATGATGTTTATGTTATAGGTGGAACCTGGTGGTGTAAGTCAGCTCCTGGCTTCTATGTGTTGGATACTGTTTTTGACATCATTCATAACTCTGTTGCTGTCCACCTGGGAGTTTAGGCATTCTTGCTTACTTTTATGTGTTCCTTCTCCTTCCTGGTCTCCTTAGGCATTGGTGACATAGCCAGTGCCTTTCATCTGCCACCTGGGAATGCTACGTCACCAATGCCTTCCAGAGAGATTTTGGAGGTAAACTTTGAAATCTCACAAGATTTTGCAAGATCTCAATAGAAAGGTTCAGAGTAGGGATGTTCAGATACCAAGTACCATACTCGGTACAAGTACATGTACAGATACTTTTCGAGCTCCAAGACTAGACTAGAGAAAAATTCAAAAGTTAGGAGGCAGCTCTCATTTTTAAGGAGCACACGGAGCTCCTGGGATTTGTACATCTCTGTTTTAATGTATGCTTTTTTAAAATAAACATATATACAGTATAAGGGAAGCACCAATACCTTTTTTCAAGTACAAGTACTGATACTTGCCCAAGTCCTCACAGATACAAGTACTGATACATTTTTGTTTATTGTCATGTGACAGTTTTTCTAAAACAATATTGACTAATGATTTCAGGACAGTGGTGGAGCATCAGAGCTAGGTACCAGTCCATTTTGCACACAGAACACCACAACAAGGCCTGTCTGTGAAAGCCTTCAATCTGCTTCATAAAGCACTCACAACTGACTAGCCTAGAGAACAAAGAAGAAGAAGCCAGACATCAAATATTTATATACACTGAGTGGCCAGATTATTATGACCACCTGACGTTTGTAGGCAAAACACTGCAATACTTAATGTAGATGAGCTTGTTTTCATAAATATGCTGAATTAGCATTGACAGTTTAGTTTTTTGGGTTGGTTTTTTTTTGTGGGAGGGATGATTGATTGGATGCTTTGGCAATCCAGAAGTATTATCACTGTTCCAAAGGTCACCTCAGTTAAAGATAACTCCATCTTTCTTACCATGTTTCATGTTACACCTATATTTAGGGCATCATATTTCATGTTGTAATTTCATGGTGTCTGCAGCTCCACACCCCCTAAGTGCCCTCCTCCTCTTACCAGAATTCTGGTCAAAATAAATGCATTTTTTTTTCTTTATTAATGTGTGTGCATCTATTAATTTTTGCAATAGGTGGACTTTGACTTTAATCATCATTTGAGTATGTTTTCCATGATCCCATGAAGTCAGACTGAGCAGGGCTTTGAGGCCACAGCCTCTGACTTTCTCTGGGCTGTAAGCAGCATCCCTGTTTCTAAGAAATTTTATTAGGGATAGATCAGCAGTGTACAAATTCTTTGTGATTGCTTGCTTTGGGGCAAACTTAATTAAAATAAGGAGACTCTGAAGTGTGCATAATTCCTTTAAAGCATAGTTTTAAATGCTGTGTTTATTTAAATGCTGCATTTTAATTACTGATAGGAGAGTACCTTTAAAGTCTCTTTTAACTTACTGTGGTATATAGCGCAGAGTAGATACTTAAAGCAGCATGTTTAGAAGGAAATGACCTCCTTGCTTTCTCAATCACTTCCAGTTCACCGGCACAGATGTTTGCATTGCTCATAAACTGATGGTGAGCAAGACAGTCTGTTCCAGTATAGTTCGGTTTACACACAGTCAGAAAATATGGAGTGAGGTTGCCCGTTACAACTTGACCAGCATTTACAAAAATGTCCGTTGCAAATAAGCCGAATGCAAAAACCCCTGAAATGTTGAAGAAACAGAAACAATAAGATAAAATTAGTGATATAGTATTGCTGATGATTTCTAACAAACAAGAAACCATTTAAAATAAAGTCAAAACATTGATTCAGGGCATCACAGTCCTTATTTTTTTTAATGAGTAACATGCATGATTTAATGCAAAGAGCAAAACACAATTATTGACTGTTTTCAATTACTTGTAGCATTACTCAAACTATATGACAACTGCATTATTTAATTTAAAAAAGCTTTAGACATTTATTGCAGTGGCTAATTTATATGGTACCAACATATCTCAGTGTTTTGCAGAGAACACACATCTGTGAGATATTCACATCTGTCCCCTGCCCCCCTGAAGCTTCTTAGAATTCAATCTAATAAGAATTTCTTATATCTGCCCAATGGCAAAAACAGTGCATGAAGGTAACTTGGGAGGAATATACAGACTCTATGCAGATAGTGGGTTGATTTGGTAAAGTAAATTTTCACTTTGCAGAAATCCTATATATCCTCTATGATTGGGTCTGTCTGCTGCTCTTTGTTACAGGACCTGCCTTCCCTTTCCCTCAAATTTGGGGAAAGGACAGGCAGGTTCCTGTAAGCCTCGCAGCATTCTGCCTTGGATCTTTTTCAAAAGAACTATATGAAAGAACATATGCCAGGAGTTCCTTGATGTTGATGTGCTTGCTTCTCAATGCTGGCCTCTGGTTGCTGCAGACTTTAGCTGTACACGCTGCTTAGTTGATTGGTTGCAGGTACATCTGTAGGGATGTGTTCTTTCATACAAAACAGGAGAACAGAACAAGTGATGACATAGAAAGCTAATAGTTGTGAGAGGGGTGCCAACTACAGTCCAGATCAGGGGAGAAGTGATTAATGAATAATTAAGATTGTTCAGATAGGAAATAAAGGTGGGCTGTTGCATGTGTGAGGAGTTAAACTGTGGAAGTGCAAGTTTACAGGGAAGTGAGTAATCAGTTTCAGCACACGAGGGGACTTACAAATGTGGGGGAAAAAGGGTAAGGCTGAAGTTCAGCTTTAAAGGAGAAATATGGGGAGAGTGAAATCCGCTCATCCCCATAATTAGAGTTCAGTTTAAGACCTTCTCTCTGCAGAGAGTTGTGGCTGTCAGTCACTGCTCCCCGCAGGGATTCCCCCTCCCCTCTCCATTCCTCCAGCGCTGACTGGAGGAACAGCTGGGGAAGGGGTGGGTCAGTTGTCAATCAGACAGCAGGGTAGATCACAACAATATTGTTGGGATCTGTCCCAGCTGCAGCGCAGCTCTGCGCTGTCAGCAAATAACAGGCAATAGAGTTTTGGGTCACAGGAGGACATTGGTATATGTCCTCCTGTAACCCTAAAGAGAACTATGCAAAAAAAGTTTGGGCCATAGCTTTTTTTTAATAGATGTGATCTGCTTGGTTGCTTTGGGTCATAGTACAGTTACAGGAGATTAGTCTTTGCCTTTTTGGATATGCCTGAAGACTAGTTATCTGTTGCATCCAATTATAATTCTAAAAATAAACCTGAGTATAAATTAAATCTACATTTAAAAGGGAACTATGAACCAGCCTTTTTTTGCCATAGTTCTCTTTCGGGTCACAGGAGGAAATATATCAATGTCCTCCTGTGACTCGAAACTCAGCATATAGTGGGCTATTGCCTGCTATATGCTGACAGCGCAGAGCTGTGCTGCAGCCAGGACAGATATCAACAATATTGTCGGGATCCACCCTGCTGCTTGATTGATAGCTGACTCTTCCTCTCTAGAGACAAAGCCAGCTGTGCCTGCCCCCTCCTCCATTTGCTCCTCCAGTCAGTGCTGCAGGAACAGAGAGGGGAGGGGAGAACTGACAGACACCGCTCTCTGTAGGGAGAAGATCGGGAACTGAGAGATCAGTAGTTTGTGATTGCTCAATTCTCAATGAATAGAGCCAAAATGTGACAGCTTCAGTGTCACACCTCAGCTATAGTTATGGGGATGAGTGTATTTCACCACCCATAATTCTCATTTAATGATATGCCTTGATTAAAATAAGAACTGACTGTTTTTGCAACTTACTGTCACACTTTTTACACTATAATATTGAACAAACCCATCTGACACTGCTACCTATTTGTTAACTGGATAGAAAATATGTTATGCTCATCTAGCTTTCTGTCTTAGTACATCACCAAACAGGACGTGGATAAGATAATCAAAGAGTTTGAATGCAATAACACCAGATCTGTTACAATATGCAATATTTACAATATATATGTTCTATATCATGGATATCATGTTTTTTTTAGCTTATTACTACAACGAGTCAAATAAATTATTATCATCACTTCAGTGCAGTACAATATGCAGATTGTTAATGAAATGCAGAGTGTTATATTAATTAAATACCAAAAGTCAACATTGCTAGTAGCACAAGTATTTGATTAGTCTGCTGCAATAAGCTTGGCTTGTTGGTAAAGCACAGTGTCTAATGCCCAAAGGGAATCCCACAAATTCAGCTCTGTGGCAGTGTGCCAGTTATCAATATAGTCACAGACAAGTCAAGTTCAAGGATATCTGAAAGTTATTGAATTAACCCATTAAGATGTAGACTGGATAGTATATTAGAAACAGAGTATGCTTACAGAAAGATAAGATGTATAGAAATAAAGATAACCCTCTTAATTTATATGATGAATCCAGCATGTTATCAAACTCTGTATTCACAGTGCAGTAAGGTGAAAACTGAACAGCAAGAGGGCTTTTGTATAAATCATGTGCTCGGCTCTGTAGAATAAGCTAAAATTTTAAAACTGATGAAACATGGAGTGGCCTCTGCTTGAAGCAGGGTTATAACAGCACTGATATTCTAAAACGAACAGCTGTTATACTCCATTTCAAAGCAAGCTAGTCATTTGTAGTGGGTGTACAACCATATCAACATGACTAAAAGGAATGACTTATTACAAGACTTTTACTCTGTCAAGCAATGTTGTTATCAACCTCCACACAGCTGTCAGCTACTGTGTGAAAGTTCAAACTAAAGTCTTATTATAAGAAAAAGTGTATTCTATTGGTGACAACAGTCCAGTGGATGGAATGTAAAATTAATAAGCATCCTTGACATTACAAGCAGTTTACTTAATTAGCTAAATTAAAATAATGTACCCTTTGCAAGCCTGAGAGAAAGTTCTGAGACAATTCTAAAAGTAATAAATATGTACAAGAATTTAAGCATGTGTCCTGCCAAAATTGATAGTAGGTTGGAAGTGACATTGGCAAGGGAATGTAATACTGGCAGCAACTTTGCCCAGAATAAATAGGCTACAATCTGTGTCAAGAGCTTTCAGTTATTTTTCAAGTCACTTGGCCTCTGGACATGCTTTTGGCTAAAAAAAGTTACTTTGAAGATAGTATTAAAGTGCTTCTTTGAAGATTGTATCCAAGAGTCTCCTAGTCCTGAAAACCATTAGATATCTTAGCACATGGTAGTTGTTAAAAACGCCCTGCAACCATATTGCAATTCCAAAATTGGCAGCAGCATCACATTTGGTGTTTCCATGTTGTGAGCACAGGTTTGTTTTAATGGGTGCATCTCTAGAGTGGTACTTCCAATTGATTATGAGTCCTGATTATGGCTCCAGCTCCTGGGTGTTGCCATGTTGTCAGGTGAAGGCAAAGACACCAACCCTGCTGGAACAGGGTGAAGAAACCATCTGCTATCCGAAGGACTGATGTATTTTTAAACAATTTCTCTTTTAAATTTAACTTTAAGCCCTTAACAACAATAAACACTTACTCACCTATAAATCGTATGATTCTTCTGATTAATGGATTCAAGTAACAGCACTCTCCAGTTAGAATCATTTTTTCTTGAACGATCAGGTTTTCTCTTGTAGACTTAATGAAATAGGTTGCTATCTCACCAATAAAAATCTAGGAAGGTTAAAAAATAAATAA